CCTGCAGAGGCCATGTTACAACCTGACACTAATTAGTGACTTTTTTTTTTTTGGGTCTTAGATTGTAGCCTGTTCTTTGGGAGCTTTTTGTTTTGTTTTATAAGATACCACTGGAAAGACCAGTGAATCCAAAGCTTGTTGAGAGGGTGTGGGTGGTGGTGTGTCTTGTTTGTGGGTGACTGGGTTGTTTTTAGATGCTCCTAATGAATCTGTTCTGTTGGAAGTTTTCTGTCCTCAGCAGATGTAGTGATGCACTTTGTTACAAAATGTTCTGTGAAAAATAGTTTGAGCTTCCTTTTTACATGAAATCTGTCCTGAAGTTGGGTATACTTAGTATAACTGTTTTCTTAAGTTTGCAGAGCAGAATTTTTTTGTAAACTGCTGACATATGAATTTGAAATTTCAGAGTTCAGCCTTCTTACATTATCCTCACAAGATGAAAGATGGTTTTCTCTGAAAGCATGAAGTCGGGGCATCAGCAGTGTCCTAGTTTAAACAAAAATTTGAAAGGATTTAAGATTTCATGACAAGTCATGAGACATGGATGCAAGAAATTGTGGAAGATGCTAGTATGTGAAAACAGGGTGGATTCAGGAGCATGATAGAAAAATTTGGGCATTTTGAATTACAGAAATACTTGCAACTGATGGGACAGTTACTTCCTGAACTTTTTTTTTTTTTGCGTACTGTTATATTTAGTGTTTGTGTTGCTGAGCAAGGCTTCTGGTTGTTGAATTCAGGTTTGGAGACCCTCAGGAAAAATTTGAATGCTTTAGAGATGCCTAGTGAATGTTGCAACCTCTCAGTTCTGCAATGGATTGGTGGAATGAATCCATGTGGACAAAATTAGGTTTTTCTGCTTTGAGTCTTGGATTTTTTGGTGCCTGGGTTTTGTTGGGAAGGTATTCACAGTGGTATAGGACAGAGAAATCCACAATATAACTTTCTGGTTAAAGGGTAAGATGCCACAAAAATAAACAAAAATTAATTGCCCCTTATTCTGCTAAAGTATTTAGGGCTGGACCTGTGATCAGCATATATGGTGCTGTCTGTGTGAAAGGAGAACTGTCATCCCAAAGGCTGGTCCAAACCAGTTAGAGCCATATAAACCAGTTAAAGCCATATTTAATTCAGTGAATGAAGTTTCAAAGCTGATAAATTTAGTGTTTAACATGGGGTCACCTGCTGTAGGGTTTTCCTTATTAGCAAAGTTCTAAAGAAGGAACTGTATTTATTTACTGGATATTTAGAAGTTAGCTGTAGGCTTGCTTTTCTACTTTAGAAGCTATTTAACAACCCACAGAGAGATGTACAGAAGCAATTATTACTGTGCATTTTGTGCCGTGGTGCAGGGGGACTTCTTGCCTATATAGTATCAAGTATAAGATTTTTTGGTTTCCTACTGACGTTTTACTTTGTCTATATATGCCAGTAAAATGGCCAGTCCTATGCTGGAGTACATAGATTTAAAGATATGCTTGTAATCAGATGAGTATCACAAATGGGTTTATTTTCACTGGGTTCTAAGAGCTGCCACAAAACAGGCAAAGGAAACTTTATTTTTAAGCATTAGAGTGGGTCGTTATGCCGTGCTATTGGATCACTAACAAACTATTACCAGCTAACTAGTGAGTAATTACTGTCAGGCAGGCCATGTGATGGTCAATTTATTAGCTGTTGCAGCAAAAACGAATCTACCAAATGTGTGCCAAAATGAGTCAAGTGGACTGCTCCAGCCAGGATCCCTAACACCCACAGGCGAAACAGGGTGATGAAATTATTGTTGACAATCCTAATCTGCCACGTCAGTGTTGTAATAGTAATCAGGATCTTCTTTAGCAAACTAACGTTGCATTCTTGAAAAAGATGGGATTCTTCTTCTTGCTGGTTTTAACTGGCTTTCTCTAAAGGGGGACAGGTTGGATCTCTGTTGGCATTCAAGCTGATCTCTTTCATGTAGGGTGTCTGGATTTCTGTCTCTGGTGTTTGTCCTAAAACTCCTTTAATGTCAATTCTGCATCTTGCAGTCGTTCCTACCGTTCTTTGCATGTACAGGAGCAATCCAGTGAGACCTCAGCTTTACAAAATGAGGGCACAACATCTCCAGAGCTCTGGGAGTGCTTCTTTACTATTTTTGGAACCAGCTCTATTGCTTCTATAATAGGAAGGCTTCTGGAAGCTTTCTCCTTCCCCTCGCCCCAAGAAAGTAGCCTTTCAGCTGAGCTTTCATTAATTCAGGATCTGCATGGCAAAACAAATCTAGTTTTATACGCTAAATAATTCAGACGTGGCTCATGGATCACATGGCCTCAAATGCACAGTGTTACAGTGAGTATCTTTACCCATACCCCATAACCTGAGGATGCAGCAGCTGTAACCCTGCTCAGGGCTGTTTAGCTACCCCCTGTTTATCATTCAGGGCACACCATAGGTTATGTGGTGACAAGGAGTGCCAAAGTAGGTGGTAGCTTTCTAGAAAGCAGAGTAATGTGTGATCTGGGTGCGTTTGTTGCCAGTGCTGCAGCAGCGTTGGCAAGTAAGGGATTTATTGGTTTTGTTCTCCTCTTGGATCAAGCAGAACAAATCTAATGAGCCAGTTCTTAACTTCTTCCCAGTTGAGCAACGGATGATGTCCTTACCCAAATTGTGCAATGCAGCTAAAACCTTTCAGGAATAGTTGAACAAGGGAGACGCTTGTGATAGATTCTCCACCCCACCTCCCTGCCCCATTAAAATACAGGGTTAACAAGGTGCAGCAGAGCTTATCTGTTCTTTATTTTATTTTCTTTTTCCCTTCTGAGATTTTCCTTTTGAGAAGAGAGGGGCTGACTTAGTCCTTCTGATGCTAGCCACACCTGGAGGAGAAGAAAGCATGAGAGCTACAAATTTAAAGCCTTTCATTCTTTATTGACATGATCTTGGAAGGAAGACAGGTTCTCCCTGTAGTGCTTCATTAGAATAAGCATTTCATATGCTTATCAGTGCAGCAAGTAGCCCTGTTTGACAGCAGTGAAGAGTCAAATGTCTTGAAGCCCTACACGCTCATTTCCCTGCTTCAGAAACACGCTGTATTTTGCACACTGTGCATTCAAAAGTGTTCTTTTGCACTGACATGAAAGAAGCTAAAAAACTGCTTTGTGGCAGACACCTTTCCTGGCATGATTCAAGGCATGGATTTGAGACACCTGAGTCCAGTCTGAGTTGCTGAGAACCTCATCCTGCTGGGTTTTGCTAGTGCCTGCTAGGTCTGGGGGTAAGTAGTATGGATGGGAGCTTGGTGGAGCTTTGAGAGTGGGTGCAGTGAATTTGGTGGGGAAATGAGCCAAGAGCAATGGTAAGGAGGTTCTGTTGCTTGGCCAGCTCTATTGCCAGTACCTAGAAGAAGTGGTATCGGCAGGTTTTGGTGTGTAAGTAGACAGGGGAGGCTCTCCCCGTTTATTGCAGCTGGAGCGTCTGTGGCAGCTTTATTGCTTCTAGGTTAGATAACATCAGATCTATGTAAAGTTACAACTTTTGACTATCAAACGGAGAGGAAGCTGAGTACACAAGGTTTCACAAGGCAAACGGTGTTTATGATGGCTTCTGTAGCTTCCTGCTGCAGGTGAAGAGGCCAAACTGCAGTTCAGCAGGACTCAAGAGAATCTCATCTGATTGTAGTTGTTAATCTTTGCATCTCTTAATGCTCATAAGTTGGATACGGTGTCTTTACTAAATACCTACTTTCATGCAAGGGTTTGTTGCCAGCTGCGGATGGATGGAAACACAAACGTGAGGTCACTCTGAAACTCTTTGCAAGATAGCTTTAGTTAAAACGTGCTTGTTTTGTCTTATTTTGCCTGAGGCTGTTCTAGTAAAGAAGTGAAATGTAGCTAGTGAACTTAGTGTTAAAAGGTAGTTCTTTAAGGTGTTTAAAATAGGTAGATCCTACACGAAGAACAGTTAAAAAGGAGAGGGTTGCATTCCTATGGATGTCTGAGAGGCTGACTGTGAGGACCTGGTGTATCATCTTGCTGTCTGAACTAGTCTGGGAGCTGCTGCGGATCGCTGGTTGTTACCATGGAGTGTGAACGTTGGGACTAGGGAAAGCTTTCTGTTTGGGGAGGGAAGGAGGGTGGGCTGGAGAGATGGCTAGGCTGGGAAACGGCAGAATTGCACGTCTGGTGAAATCTGCTTTTAGAGGCAAGTATCATGGAACAACCTAAACTTGAGCTGAGTGGTAGGGGAATGAATATGCAACCCTGTTCTTGCAAGAAAACAAAAACCCCCGTGGAGATCTCTACTATAAGGCCTCGGTGCTGGCTTTTTTTTTTTTTTTTTTAGGATTACCTGTCCCTCATAATGACTTTTTTGGTGTTAACTCTTCTGAGTTCCCCTCTGAAATACTCGTCATTGCTTTCTTCTGCGTCCTGAGTGTGCTGATGCTCTTTGCCCAGCTGATCCAGGGTGATGCAGAGCATCCTAAAGCTAGCCCTGCGTGGAGGTGGGGTGGTCAAGTCTGTTTTTACTGACAGTGTGATTGTTGCTGAGAATGAGTCCTGGGCCCAGGGCCTCCTTCCTAGAAAGCAAATATTCTGAAAGGATATGCCCATCCTTTGAACTCATTTGTTGATCAGTTACTGTTGCTACTGTTTAACATACACTTGCTCTTGCAGTAAAAGCTTTAGCTATCAAGATATCAAAAGCTTTAGTGTATTGCTGCACAGATGAAGAGACCTTGACCCCCCCCAGTTGAACCCACGCTAGTTGAGTTAATACTTTAGTTTTCCTGAACTGCAGCAGTGTTCAAAACCGATGATAAGATGGGGAGTTCTGTGGGACCATTCAGCGAATTGCTGTCTGTTGCTGGGAGGACGTGATGCTTACTGCTGCCAAAATCTGAGTCCTTCCCACATCTTATGCATAAAGGCATATGTTTGGGGGTGGTTTCAGAAAGGGAGAACAACACGACTAGGTTTTTAACTTCCTCTTCTGTTTTGTTTCTCTGTGCATCTGTATTTCAGTTTTTGGGCTGTACCGAACTGTGTGCAAAACTAACAAATCAGCTGAAGCACCTACTGATAAGGATCAGCCTTGGTAAAGAAACACACTGTGGTAGTTAAAAGGCAGTAAGTATCTCTGTGCTAGCTTGGATGCTGATGTTTTTTTTCTTTTTTTTTTTTTTTTTTAATTCACAAGCACAGCTTTTTACTACTTACACAGTAGGAATTTGTCAGTAGCTTGCTGGCATTAATAGTCTATTTCAGCTCTTTTCTATAGCCCAGCAGCTAGAGGAGGGGAAAAAGCATGCTTTGTATGGAGTTGTGTTTGGATCTCTGCTGCAGTGCCCATCTGAACTTGTCTGTGTCTATTTTGTCAGCTTTTGCTTCCCTCTAGTAGGTGCTAGTACCTTCTTAAAACGCATGACATCCCACCATACAATGCCTGTGCTTGGATCAGGGTTATGACTGCCCCTGACCTGAACCAGTTCTCTTGATGGTTTTGCTTCTCCAGCTTTTTACTGCAAACAAGATACCTTTTGGTTTCAATTTCTTTGTCTGGCTTTTTATCGTTTACTTCTCAATTGATTTGCAAAGGAGTAGGGCTGGGACAAAACATCTGGTATTCCTGACTAGGAATACATGGAGAGAGTTTTAGCTATTGAAAAAGTGACTGGCATTCTTGAAATGGTATGGTTGCATTTATTTAGGTGTGGATATAATCATGTTTCTGTGATACAGTTCCTGCTGAGTCTGAAATGCTAGTGTCAGTAAAGCCAGAAGGAAAGCCAGACAAAAGCTTGGAAAAAAGTCAGAATTTCAGTGCCTCTTACTGATGGTTCATGGGAAAGTAATGATTTTGTGTTTAACTTTTGATTTTCATAAGGCACTAGGCATATGCTTTTTTCTCTGTGAATTACTGTTTGTATATATATATTTTGCAGCCCACAAAACATTAGAAATGGCTGATTTTTGTGCCTAGGTTTCACTCTTGCAGGTAGTCCTTGTTAGAGGCTCTGGGTAGTCTAATGAAAATGGTGTTTAACTACCAAGCTTCAATTTATGCTGCTGTTAACCACAGCAGCCTAACTCCTTGTCTTTCTCAATTTATGGAGTAGAGGGCATACTCTCATCCTCCTGCTCTGCCAGTGCAATGCCTCCGGCTTCTCCATCTGACATGTTTCTTTGCCTTGTGTAGAGCTCAGCAGAGGTTTCTTCATGGAGACTGAAATGTGTTTATGTAATATTTTATATATTATTTTAGGCTCCTGCTTACTCAAATGTAGGCAAATGATTAACCTCTTATTCACCATCACTAGAGGAATCGTGAAATTGCTATAGCAGACATCAAATCAGATAGATCTAAACCAGTTTCCGTTTTCCCTGTCTGGACAGTCATCCTTCATCACTTTCTTGGCGAGTGTGGCTGCCAAGTTAGAGCAGGCTTTCCAGGCCAGGAGTGTTTAGTGGCAGCGTTGAGTTGTAAACCAAATTGGTCAAGCACTGATTAACTGAGCTATGCATAGGTAGGTGCTCTTCTGCGTGGGAGTTTTTTCTCTCTGGTAGGTGTTGGGAAAGGGGTGATGTGAGAGGCTCCATCTCTGCGAGAGCTCTGCTGCCAGCAAGCACAAACCTCCAGCGAGTGCTGTACTGTGGAAATGCCACTGTAGGAATAGGGCAGCAGTAGGAGCACTGGGCAAAGCTGCTGAAAAGGAGAGAGCAACCTGCTGCACTAAATCACAAATCCCCTGGGGACACAGCTCTATAGTTAGCATTTTCAAATGGCATTCCTTTATTACGGCATCATTGTGCATGGTCCTCTAGAGAGGAAGCAAATGATCTTTAAAACAATCTGCTGGCAACTCAGGCTTGAGTATTTGAGTTTTTCCAGGGCTCTTTTGCTGTGTCACTTTTTCCTTTTATGTTCCAGCTCGAAGGTTGTTGTTCTTTCACTGTCAAAGTACGTTAAAGCGCCGGTAATGGTGTCTACTCCAAGGACAAGACGTAGAAGGCAGCAACCTAGTGCGAACGAGAGATACTGCAGAACAGTTTTGTTTTGGTGAAATCTGCTGTCTTATCTGTGTGTGATGCAAAGACGGGGCAGTTTTCACAAGGCTTGGAGGCTGCATGGTGGCATGTTTTTTGTCCTTTATGAAATCTGCCACGTTATTTTGATTAGAATGCTAACGTAACTCCTGGCAGCGTCAAATCTTAACTGCTAGCACCGATTTCCCTCCAAAGCTTGATGCGGTGTTAACAAGCAGAAAGATCTTGTGCGTCCTGTTTTCGTGGAGCTCGGAAGACAGCGTGTTCCATGGGAGGTGCCAAGGTGGTGCTGCAGTCGTATATAAGGTGAAGCAGCATTGCTCGTGCAGACAGGCTGTTGTGGGGGGCATTAATTTGTATTTTAATGGTGTTCAGAAACTCCAGCTGCAATAATGGCATGACGATGTTAAGTTCTTTTATATTTTTACATATATGTTATATGTATGTGTATGCATGTATGTGTGTGCGTATGTATTTTCTCTCTCTCTTGGGAAAGGATCCTTGTCCTGATCATCTGTGCTTCAATCGCTGCTGTACTGGAATGTGATCTTCTTATATACGTCTTGTTTGTTCAGTTTCTAGGTGGCAGAGACACAGTGAAGCTCTCTGTGGAGCAAGGAAAGCTGATGGGGGAGCCTTGCGCGTAACCCAGGATGGACTGGCTGTGACGTGCCTTAGCTGGAGAGGTAGTTACGATGAAGAGTTCCTGCAGAGCTGGCCTCCACAGGGAACCGCTGAATTCCACATCCTCCACCTTCCATCAAGTGAAACGGTATGAACAGACTGGCTGGTCTGCCTATAGTTAAGTATTTAGCATCCATTTAGTTAGCCTTCTCCTTACTTACCTATTGTCTTGCATGTCACTCAAATGTTTGGTCCAAATTCTTACTTTCGGGTAGTGTTTAAGTGAAATGTTGTAATGGCTTAAGGGCAGAAATGTTCTTTGACATTTTTATTTGATAATGACAACTGCAGATTCACTACAGCTGGTACTGTACTTGGAGAAATCTTTGGGTTTTCTAGCAACGGCTGTAAATCAATTTGGGAACATGGCTTTGAAGTAGAAGTTAATTGGAGAATGGCTTGTCATAGTAGCCTTTAAAACATGCAGTCAGCTTAAAGCAAGTGGAAATACTGGCAATCGTTGTGGTTTGTCTTACTATGGAGTAAGTAATTAGATTAGTTTAAGCTCAGATTTTGTATTGCTCACTCTCCTGTGTCTCTTATTAAGAAGAAATGCACGATTGATTTCAAACACTTGTGCTTATGTGACAATTAAGTGAACGCCTCTCACTGTGTCTCGTTATAGGAACACCATACAGAACAACTTGTCCTTATGCAAATGCAAGAACATGCCAGTTTGAGTTCAAGCTACTTGAAAATATATGTATCATTTTTTTTCTTTTTCTGAAACCAAGACTCTTAAACTTCCTCAGTCTGGAGGAAGAGAGCCAGCTTTCTGGTTTCCAAAAGCCATGTGGGTTTAAAGCAAACTTCAGCCTTTGTTCTTTGTGGTTGTGTACACAGCATATACTTGCTATGTTAGTCTCTTGGTAATTTAGTGCTGCAAAAGACTTCCTGGGTCACCCAGCTCCTTGCTCTCCCAAGCAGTATCTCATAATCCCTTTTGTAAATTTAGAAGTCTAGCCTTAAAAACAATTACATCTTTTCTTCTCTCCTCCTGTAGATTAAGCCATTACTGAAGATGACAGATCTAGCTGTGCGATTAGGAGCCTTCATTTGATTCCCAGACTGAACATTCATGCCAGCTTATATACTCATTTGAGCTTCTGTTGCTTTTTTTTTTCTTTTGCGTAAGGCCTGCTTCTTCTTTTTAGTGGTTTACCTCTTCTGCTGTATTCTGTAAAATGTGGTGGTATACCTTCACCTGTGGTTTTGCTGTGCTGAATGACCCAAGTGTTATCTAGTAGCTTCTTGAACAACAGCTGTCATCGTTGTTCTCTGTGTGGATGAATCTCCTCTGAGTCATGTCAAAAAGTGTATGCTGTACTCCAGAGCAGATCTGGTGGGAGGGCTTTTAACTGCTGCCTTGAATATATCACATAATCACCTCCACTTGCCTCTGTTTCATAGATATGTCTATGGTGGCCAACGCACCTTTCTTAGTTACCTCCAAAACTTCTTGGTGTTTAGCTTTCTGGTGCATCACCAGCTGGATTTCAAAACTCTCTTCCATTTCTGTTACTTGGTGCTTTGTGCCTCTGCTGTATTGGTAGTACCTTTCATTTCTGTGGGTGCACCTGTAGTACTTGTGCTGAGGTCATTCCTAACAAAATCAGTGCGTTCCCAAGGCTGATTCTTGAGGCATGTCTTTGGTTTCCAGGCTGGTATTTTCTTATCCAGCACCACCTGGGGCTGTCTGCTGCAAGCCAGCTCCTTGGTCTGTTTTCCCATTCCTCTGCCAATCTGTCTTAACCGGTAAATCTTGTGTGCCTTCTGAAGTCCATGTGAATAAGAGATAGTACACTTCTCTAAAAAGATCACTGTTTTAAGAACCTTCAGGTTAGTCTGACATATCGAACTATTCCCTCTTCCCCCTTTTACTTTGTGTTGCCTTAATCCTTGCTTGCAAAACACCTTTATATTGAACTCAAGAGTACCAGGCCTGGAGAGGCTGCAATTTCTCTCCCTGCTCTTTCTCCCCTGCAGTGCCACCTCCAATGTACCATATGTTTTATTAACTCATATTGTTGCCTTTCAAGAGGTTTATAAATCTTGCTTCTTGGCCTGCAGTTCACGAGTCTGTCTATTTTGGATTCTAAAACTGAGATGAGCCACTCCTTGCAATTTTCATGAAGCTTTTTAATCTTCCCCCTGCCAATGTTCTTGTTCAAATTAACCCCTGGGCTTTTGCCCTCGTGATCACCCTTATCACCCCTGTTTAAAAATGATGCAAGGGCAAATTTAGTATTTTGTGTTGTACCTAGAGTACTCTTAATCTCTGCCTTGACCTTGCTTGCAGCCCTGTTTCTCTCCCTGTCCTTTGAACAAACTGAAGAACCTTTTACTATTTCTTTAAGTATCTTTGCAGTGGCTTAACACTGCACCAGGTTCTCATGTTTATTCCTAGACTTTTTGATCTCTAAGATAGAAGTTTCCAAGTGATGTGACCTGGTGACTTGAAACCTGTGTCTGCTACTTGTATCCTTCCCGAAGAAGGAATGTGTTCAGTTGGAGTTTCTTCTGTTCTTGTTTGGGATGTGTTCTTGGTAATGAAAACACCTTTTGACTCCTGGAGAATGCCTGCTGGGTTGTGCTGTCTGCAGCGAAATCCTCTGCACCGCAGTGCAGCTGACTTCATGAAGCAGTTCCTTTTGGCCTAGAGTTTCAAAAGAACAACCTGATGACTTGCCTTCAGATGTACTTTTGCTTATTCTTTCTTTTGAACTCTAATGATAGTGTGGTCCAAGGTTAATTTCTACAACCTTTCATGTGTTCTTATTATGTATGCACAAAAATGAAGACTAAATAGCATCACTTTTTTGTTGGTTCGTTAACTGTTTGAAGAAATTTGTTGCGCCATGATGTTAAGAAAGGTCTCGGTCCTCTTGCAGTTAATAGATTAGAAAACAAATGTTAAATCAAGATATATTTCCTTCCAGAAATGTTTTATCTGTCACTTACCTGTGCTGCTCTGGGCAGCTTTCAGCAGAAGACCTATAAAACCACCATTTTTTTTTTTTTCTTACTGTCCTTTTGTGATTTCTTCTCATCTTGGCCTCTTCCACCACAGGCATGTGTGCTATCCCATCATCTTTGAGCTACAGGTTTCTGGAGCAGCTTATAACCTTGAATACAAAATCTTTAAGTTTATTTTGTTCCTATCTGCTTTACATCATCTCTGTGTCGTCTGTAGTATGGTTGGGAAGCAGGTAGCATGGGTTTGAGCTTCCTCAGGCTCAACAAAGAATTGCTTCTACGTCACTCACTTCACGGTAGGTGCTTTTATACAAAAGACTGGCAAAGCAATGGCACATCTTCCTGTGTAAAATTTAGAAAGTAGCTGAGGCTGCTGTGCTTCATGGTGAAGGGTGTATATGTGTGTGCATTTACTTCAAAATGTGTTCAAAACTTATTAAAGGATGGGAGGCCTCAAACTGGAGTAGTCTGTGTGTTGGGCTTGGATGTGCAATCTGTCACCTGAAACCTCTGCTTGTTGAAGATGGTGCATTTTACGCATGATGGATTTTATAGCTGCTCCTGTGTACAGCTATATTTGGGTGTCGTCTCCCCCAAAGTCAGGTTATTTGACCACCTGACATGGGTGAACAAGCAGTGGGGGATCCAATGTTAAGTTAGGTGCCTACTTTGCATGTAGCTCCTCAGCTTTTTTGGGCCAGCTCTGCCTCACATTTGGCTTGCTCCCGCTTCACCCAGGCTGGCCGCTCAAGTGGAGAGTGCTGCTTCAGCAGTCAGATACCTTCTGTTTACTTTCAAAGCCTGTGATAATCCTCAACTTGCTCTCCAGTTGATGCAAGAGGCGGTTTCACAGGCGTTAGAAGGTGGGTCTTGATTTAATTTGAAGTTACTGCTGCAAGGGAGTGGGTTTTCTAGAAATCGGATGCCTCCACAGCTGCTGAAATCGAACCCACCCCTGGTCTGGAGCATCGTGCCTCCCAGCCCGCCTTTCTCTGAGCTTGGACACTTGCCACACGCCAGAACAAGCTCCAGTGAGTAGCAGAGAGTCTTCCATCCCGGCTGCTCGGTTGGGACTTTCCCGCCCCGGCAGAATCCGTGGAATGCCTTTGAAGCAGTTCTCTGTCTGCTTTGCCTTGCCCCGGCAGTGCAAAGGGGATGGAAATGGTACTGGAGATTGAGCCCAAAGGACCTACCAAGTCCTTCCAGAAATAACAAGTGGCTGACCACAGTTTAACTTGCATTCAGTACTCAGTCCTTCATAATTGTCAGTGTCCTTTACAGAGGAACTAAGCTCTATAGACAGAGAAATGGGATGCCAGGGAAGAGAAATGCCTTGCCAGAGGTTATGCTTGGTGTGGGTTTTTATTGTTGTTGGGGTTTGGGTTTTTTTTTTTTGGCTTCTGCCTTGTGTTAGTATGTCCTGAGGGTTTTTTCAGAGTTGTAGTTGGCACTGCCTGTGTAGTCAGCAACGCTAGGAACTTTTGTCGACTGGAGTTAGTGTTTACAAAAAGAAATCCACAGGAAACTTGGGAGTTTTGATTGAAATTTTCGCCTTAATAAAACCTTCCGTGCTTTGTGCAGAAAACTTGCAGTGTGAATATGCTGTTTGAGCAGATTACACTTTTTTTTTGTTGTTTTTCTTGCTGGCCAGAGGAAATCTTTTGGCTTCACAGGGCATCGTCAGAGTCCCTGACCCAGGTGCAGTGAGGGGCATCTAGGTTCTCTGTGGACCTTAGAAGGTAGTTGTGAAAATTTAGCCTTTCCTACCAGTTTTTCCTCCAGTTTTGGAGCTTCCACTAAAGCGACTCTGTTATTTTTTTTAGGCTGCTATGATTTAGAAGATATATAAATACAAAAGGATGCAGAAAGATTCTGGCTGGCTTGGCACAGTAGCTCATGGGCCTTCCCTTCAGTAGGGAGAGGAGGGGTACGTGTGTGTCTGCGTGTGTAGAAAGGCATATATTTCTATATCAATCCTGTGTAGTAAGTAACTTGATAAAACTGTAGTGGAAACAAGCTGTAGTTACTACTTGTAAAAACAGCAGTGTCATTCCAGAAGTTTAAGTATCCTGTTTTTCAGACATGGCTGATTAGAAATAGAAAAACTGGCCTTTTTATTTGATCAGCTTAAGGATGGAATAGCAGTATAAAGGCAGCACTGCTAGTTGTTTCAATGCTGATCATTCCTGGCAGAATTATCTCTTATCAGCAATTCAAAACCGCACATTTGGGATTGAAAACCTTTTATGCTTACTCCATGAACTTCTGAAGAGTCGTTTTCTCTAAAGATAAAATTAGAAACTCGATATCTTAAAGGGTGGAGGAAAGCAAACAGAATTATTCTGGAATTAAGTATCATAGGGAATTGTCAGTGACTTCACCTTTTAACAACTATTTTTGGCGTTTTTAAATATTTAAAAACTTACCTGCAGCTGCCACAATTCTCAGCTTGCCAGTGTTGAAATGTTGCAGAAATAAGGTAGTCTGTGGGTGGGGACTGGGCTCTGGTTCATCTTCAAAGCAATTTCTGCTGGGAAGCCTTGTTCTAATTCTAGGAGCTAGAAATGAAATGTGCTGCTGATGTGCAGGGAAGAAGCTATGTTTGCCTAAAAGTTTGTTCTTCTTAATGTTCACAGCAAAGTGTGTGTGGGGTGGGGGCTTGTTTTTTCCAAGTGACACTTTCAGGTAAGGTCCATTACTAACATCCCTTTCAAAATGGAAGTTCTCTTCCCCGCTGCCCAAAAACTGGGAAGCAGATGACACTGCGATTAAGCTGGTCAGATGAAGTTAGCAGTATTCTTTATAGCTGTCTGAAGTTATTAAATGAAGGTTTTCTTTAAATCTGGATCCATTAAAACAGTGCAATGAACTGAATGCTGAATTCAAATGAGGCAATTATTCTGGCAGTAAAACTTCTGACTAAGGCATAATTTTGTTATGTAAATTATAACTTTTCAACCTTAAATGGTATTGTTGGCTGAGCCAGAGGCTAACTGAAACATAGGAGGAAATATAACCTTAAACGAGAAATCTGTAATAGGTGAGGCATAACTCTACCCTTTGTCTTTCTCCATAGACCAGAAATAGCTGGGAGCAGCTGAACGAACTTTGCTGGCTAAACATGTCCTCTAAGCATGTTGGGGTAACCAGTTTGGTCCTGTTTTCATTCGTATAATACCTCGTCTCACCTTCGTTTGCAGCTTCACTTAATGAAGGGTGTTGAACCAATTGTCTCGCTGGATTCCTGAAAACTGCTTGAAGAAGGCCTTTTAAAAACACATTCAGCTCATCTTTCAGACACCCTGGCATGAAAACTCATGAATGAAATTTGATCTGCTCCTAGCTCATGAGATTTCAACGTGCAAAGTCGTGTATTTAATTGTATTCACCTCTTCTCCCCAGGGTACGGTGGCGGCCAGCCATCGGAGCTTCTCTCTCTCTCTCTCTACTCTGAAAAAGCACAGCTCCAAAATGCCCTTCTGGATGGGGGAGGGAGGGCTGCAGGCACTGTTCTCTGCAGCAGCTTGCTGCAGTGGTTCACCTGCTGCCCTTCTGCGCTGGGCACTGGCCTGAGCACATGGTGGCCTGATCCTGTTTAGCTATAAAGTGCCACCGAGCTAAGGCAGACGCTGTGGAAAATGAAGCTGAAGTAAACTACAGCAGCCTTGCTTTCCCATTCTCTTCTATTCATCTATTTCAGCACCCTGAAGTTCTATTTTTATCAGATTATTTTAGTTTTTAGCATCCAACTGAGAAGGCAAACAAAATAGCTCGTTTGCATTTTGCAGAGGAGACTAAACTGGGAGGTGACCCAACTCCAACAAGAGCTGGAATTAGCACGCAGAAGGCATGGGGAGAGAATTAACCCAGGGACTAGGTAGGTGTATCTGCAGTAACGGGAGCTCTCTTACCCCGCCAGTCTGTAGGTGAACTGCAGATGGGTTTGGCACTGTCTGGTTGCTAGAGTGAGGTGATGATCTTTCTGTAAAATCGGGAGGGGAGAGAACATAACAGCGTCCTTTCCCATGTCTGCCTCCTGGCCTTCAAAGCACTGCACAGGACCAAAGGGTTCTCCTAGGTTTTGTGCACACTCATAGAAAGGTGAACTAAGCCCTTCCTCTTGATGTACCTCCCCAAAACCTCTCTGCCCGCACTTGTCATCTGTCCCCTCGCTATTTATCACTAGGGCCAGAAGGAAGAACCAAAACCTCAGGGGAAAGCAATGGTTAAGCAGCATGGCTCCTTCTAGTGCAGGAGGTTTCCTCTGCTTAGAGAGGTGCAGGTGGTGCCTGGCCGAGTTGCTGCCTTGGTGCTCTCAGGTGTGTTGTGTTAGCAGCTGGAAGTGGAGCGCCTTGCTTTGAAAGCCTTCTCTTGGCTGGCTCCGCTGCTGTCTGGCTCAGCTCTCCCTTCTGCCATCGGTAACTCTGGAGAGTCCATAGCCCTGGCTAATCCGTGGGGCAGGGCTGCCTGGAAGGTCCCCAAGCTGCGCTCCAGATTGCTCGTACGGCACGTCCGTGTGCGTTCTTGGTCAGCATCTGCTGTTACGACTTGCCTCTTACAGCCATCCTGCGTGCTCTGGCGGGTCTGCTTGAGGGGTGGGTGAGCTGGGTTCCTTCCTCCTCGTGTGCTTACCCCACGGGTACCCTGCGTAGCATCCACAGGGATGTCTTGAGGTAGGTGTGTGTGTCCTGATCGCGCTGCAGCGTGGCAGGGCAGAGCCTGGCTGCGTCTGATACAAACCTGCCATGTGTGAACCGCAGGTGTTAAAACTATAAATCCATCTGCCTTTGTAGATGTTACGGCTTGAGGTTTTTAATTAAAAGCTGTTTTTAGGCTAGAAATGCAATACCAAAGCAACTGTTTTGGTGGTGGCTGTCAAGGGAAACGTTCAGTGTCTGAATGTGTCCGTATCGGCTCGTGATAAATGTGGCATTGAACCTGCTGTTCTTAAACTAGCAAGCATGGATTATCCCCGTTTCAAAAAGGAGGCCTTTTAGTGTAACCATTCAAAGATTACCATGGAAACATAATCTATACTTAGTTCTGTAATATGCTTATGTGATACTCCTGGGAGAAGAGCCTGAAGTCTCCTGATAATTGCATCCTATGTGGCAGTGCCCTGGGCTTTTGTGTTTTTGAGCTTTGAATTGAAGATTACTGCAAAGGTGAAACAGAAAAGAGGAGTTGAGTGCCTGGGATCGTTGCAGGAGTGGTGCTGCTGCTGTAATGTCAGCAGCATCCAAGTGTCTCCTTCACAGCTCTTAAATTCTTAACCATAAAAACACATACTTGAAAGCGGTTCTATTCAGCTGTATATGATGCTTTGTCACTTTTGGGTGGGGCATCTGATGTATAGCATAAAAACCCTTATGGGAAGGTACACTAAATTTGGTACTATTGATATACCAAGGGATAGATTGCATTTTGGGTGGTATTAGGAGATTAGATATCTGCTGGGATCCCTGAAGAATGTAGTTACACTTGCTAATTTCCCTTTTCAGCTTTAACTGTACTTTATCTGCTGAAAAGAAAATATATATATAAAAAATACATCTGGTAGCTAATATCAAGACAAACCCTTTGACCCACATGTGCCTTACAACAGGATTAAGAGATGAATGGGCAGAAGGATGGCTCTAACTCTAGAATGAACCTCTAGCTATGTTTGCACAACAGATAGAACTTAAATGTTAGGATTTCTCCTTGCATCTCCCTGGAAACAGATTTCTCTAACAGGAAGATCTCTGCTATCCTTAAGATTATAATCCTATTGCAAGAAGTTCTCCAAGGGTGGATGTTGTAGCCTGGTTACTGCTTTTCCTTTCTTGTGTGGTTCCTTTTGAGGTGTGGGCTGCTATTCTAATAGGAGGCATGCTGGTGCCTACTCTAGGCCACCTTCTCTAATTCCAGGCAGGCATATTTTGCAACTATAACTTCTTCCCTTTCTGTTTTTCTAGGGTTTCTGGTATGCACTTAAAGCCATATCTCAAGTTACAGAAAAAAGAGCGATCTCCAGAAATAAGCCAGGATTCCCTGAGAGGCCCACCTATGAGCCATCAGAGATCAGCACAAGAAGAAAAATACACGAACAACTGCACCAAACTGAGCGTTTTCCCAAAACCCTCCCTTGTGACTCCATCCCAAAAGCTTCTGGGGATTATTTATCCAAATACTATGTGCAATATGAATGGGAAAGGTCCAGCGGATGGTCCGAGTGCAAGGGAAAAGAAGAACGCCCTGTCTGCGACGATCCACCAGGGAGAAGAAGGGGAAGGGCCTCTGGATGTCTGGGCTGTAGTGAAACCTGGCAATACAAAGGAGAAGATTGCGTTCTTTGCAGCCCAGCAATGCAGCAGTAACAACCGGCTAGGCTCCATGAAAATTAAAAGCACGTGGGATATCGACGGAAGAACAGCTAAACGCAGGAAAAAGTCGGTAGATCTTAAAAAAGCCAAAATTCAACTGGAAAGAATGAGGGAGGCGAATGTCAGGTGCTCCCAGCCGGAGCCTTTTGCCTGTGGCATCGAGCACTGTTCGGTGCATTACGTGAATGACAACGGTGATGGTGTGTTCCCGGGCCGGTCCCTCTCGGTGATAGAGATGGTAGCCTTTCTGGAGCAACGAGCAAGTGCTTTACTGGTAGACTGTGCGAAAACCTGCACGCATGCTTCTACTACGAGGCTGAACGCTCAGCCTAAAGGTGCGCTTCCCAGCTCAGACCCTTTCTCCTCCGCCGGGGCGTGCGAGGTACCTGCGGAGAGGGGACCTTGCGGCAATAGCGAGCAGCAGCAGAGCGAGCCTGTGCGTGTGCTGGACATGGTGGCCAAGCTGGAGTCGGAGTGCCTAAGACGCCAGAGCGAGCGGGAGGCTGGGAGCCTCTCGCGGAACAACAGCTTCCGCAGAAATGTCGGGAGGGTGCTCCTGGCGAACGGCACCCAGCCCGAGGGAGAGGTGGGGAAGGTCTGCTCGGGGGTCCTGGCTCCGGGGGATGGCTTGGAGGAGGCAGGTGTAGCAGAGGCCGGCTACGGAGGACAGTGCGGTCCTCTGGGTGACGCAGAGTTGTGGGATGGTGCTGCCTCTGCTCGGCAGCCTTTTCCTTCTGGGCTGGATACTCGGATGGGGAATGTGAACTCGGGACTTGCTCATGCAGTGTTGGCGATAACCGCTGGCAGGAGCGATACTGAAACGCGAATTGAGCCTCCCAGACCTCTGCCATCTGCATGTCCGGCTGCTGCCAGGTTGCCACCGGATTCCTTGCAGAGCAAGAATGCGACTGTTGATTGTACGTCGAAAGAGCCTGTAATTTTGCCAAAGCAGAGTCTGCATCCTGCTAGGAAGGAGCCCTTATGCATCAGTATATCGGTCACCAAGACTGAGAAAGGATGCAGGAAAGAGAAGGTCTCTAACGCCAGTGGTAGTGAAGATCCACTCCCAGGGAGGCTGTTTTTCCTCCAGGCTGACCAGCCTGCTGCTCAGGAGCAACAGCCGCTACGGGAAAGTACCCAAGAAAAGCCAGGAGAAGTAGCCCAAAATGAGGATGAGGATGCTTTGGTATCTGACAGATCATGCGTCAGAAACAGTGTCCCTACAGAGCCATCTGCCCTTTCTGTTCCTCCGACAGAAGGGGCTTTGCAAGTACTTGATGCTTCCTGCTTAAAAAGGCAGGTTTCGCATGACTTTTTGGAGACCAGGTTTAAAATTCAGCAGCTTTTGGAGCCTCAGCAGTATATGGCCTTCTTGCCTCACCACATCATAGTGAAGATCTTTGGATTGCTTCCTACTAGGAGTCTGGTTGCCCTAAAATGCACTTGCTACTACTTCAAATTCATCATTGAATATTACAACATCAGGCCAGCAGACTCCCGCTGGGTCCGCGATCCCCGCTACAGAGAAGACCCTTGCAAGCAGTGCAAGAAGAAATACGTGAAAGGGGATGTATCACTGTGCCGGTGGCATCCCAAACCATACTGTCAAGCTTTACCGTACGGGCCTGGGTACTGGATGTGCTGTCACCGGTCTCAGAAGGGCATCCCGGGCTGTAAGTTAGGTCTTCATGACAATCATTGGGTTCCTGCCTGCCACAGCTTTAACCGTGCTATTCATAAGAAAACCAGAGGAGCGGGAGCTGAAGTGGAAGAAGAATATTAGTGCACATACACTTTCCTGCGAGATTGTTTGGGGTAGGAGGAGATTCTCATGCCTTGTGCTGTTTACAGTGTATATAATTGTCGTGTTTTTTTTTCACAGGGCTATGAAACTGCACATACTTAAACACAAGAGCCTTTACCTTTTAGATTAAAGATAGCTTTTAGTCCATCTATGTAAATAACACTATAAAAACTAATTGTACATACAGAGTCTACAGCTGGCTGAACAACGTAATCACTACAATGCAGCTATGATAGTGTTGCGGCTATAGTTGTGTGTGTTTTTAAGTGTCTTGTTTCAAAAATCTGTATATCCTGTATAATATATGAATGTTTCTGAGAAGAAACTCTAAATAGGTAAAGGTCAACTTGTTTAAAGAATCTTCAGACAACTTAACTGGACAACCTTAAAATTAGACTAGAACAGATCCATTATAGTAGTGTGGCAGTGGATAAAAAGAGAGGAATATTATTGTATAGTCAGAATATAAAAAAAGTTCTTGTCTACCCTACCCATCTTGTCTGTTTGGTTTTTTTTTTGTTTTTTTTTTTTTTTTTTTTTTTTTACTTAAATAAAACATGCATTCTAGATTTGCCTTACCAGCCTTTCTCTTGTAAGACTTTTGCCCCAAACTAAAACCACTGTAAAACACGTAGCAGAAACTTGGTACTGTGATGTTGCTCAGATGTGCAGTGTGCTTCCTGTAGAAAACTAGTCCTCCTACTAAAAAAGAAACAAACCAACCCCTCTATATTACTTGGAGAACTCCCTGCTGTAACATTCACAAATTCCAGCTTTTCTTTTCCCTCCCATCAGCTGTGTGTGCAGCCGAGGCTCGAGAGAGGCTCCTGGTGTCCAGAAAGCTGGTGCTAGGTGTGTAAAATTTGCAAAAATGGGGACTCTCTGGTTTAAGTCCTGCTTCTCAACTCTTGTGTCCGCCCCTCACCTGTGCCCCAGATGCTGGAGGACAGAGCGTGGGTCCAGCAGGGTGAAAGTGGAGTTGCCTTGGCTCAGTGATGTGCTGGAAGCTTTGCCGTCTGCTGTATATGGAATTTTTCCCTTGTAAGAGGAATCCTTGCAGTGCTTCGTTCAGCTCTGCTACAGTTTCTGGCATCGTGTTTCTGAGGTGTGAGTTGGTGCTTTCAAAGGAGAGTTGTGAACGTTTGTGTCAGAAATGCAGATGAACGGGTGATTCCTCAAACTCTTACTGGGAGCTGAACATGGCATCTCTTTTGAGTATTTCCTCAAATACATTCCTCTCCTGCAGTGTGTGTTCCAGATTCCAGCCTCCAGTTACAGCCCTCCTCTTGCCCAGCTCCTGCCTGAGGGTGAACAGCGTGGAAGTCTGGGAATGTACCTCGGATAACGCAGCAGCCTCGTTCAGTTCCTGGGACTAAAAGTGGAGCAGTGCCCATTTAGCAGGGAGCCAAATGGAGAGCGGTGGTTGTGCCTTTGCATTGTCTGAGTCCCTTTTCTCCCCATACTTTGTGCCATGGCTGTTTCTCTGCCCTTTCTTCAGACAAGGATGGACTCCTGGCAATTGCGCTGGTAGCTGGAGCGAATGAAATCTCTGATCGGGTGCAAGAAGAGCTGGTGCCGCCTTCCCAGGGGAAGCGAGAGAAAGAAAACTGAGCCCTTACAGCCTGAAATGCGGGTTTGGTAAGCTCAGGAAGTTCACAGTAGATTTAAAAGAGATGCTGGGTTTTTTTCCCAGTCGCTGCTGTACCTGCTGCCTGACACCTTGGGCGTCAGGCACCCCTCCCCAGTGCTGCTCAGCCATCTCTGCAATGCAGCAGACATTATGACAACTGGGAGGAATGAAATTAGAAAGCTAAAAGAAGGGTGCGGCTGCTTTGTAATCAGCTGTGAAAAGGGAGAGGAAAAGCAGGATCCCTTGTTAATTCATGACTTCATTCTCTAACGGGGCGCAAGCTTCATCCAAGCTTCGATCTGCTCTGCCGGCTGCACTGGGACGAGCCGCAAAACAACTTTCTGGAAGGAGTTGTCTTGCCAAAGCCATCAGCATCTTCAGCTTAATTTCAATTAAGGAAGAGGGGGAAGAAACTGCTTTCCTGCCCCCCCCCCCAAGACTCCTGGAAAACTTGAGATAACCCACACCAGGCTGACAGCAGCGAGGAAAGTCCCTGCAAGGCTGAAATAGAAGCAGCCGAGGAAAATATTTTGTAACTAGATAAGGGGCCAGTGAGGTCATTTTTTTTGGAACAGGGTGTGAGATTTTGGTCACCTTCGTTGAACAAGGGGAAAAAATGAGAATAAAATAATACCACTGGGCTGTTTTGTTCCTTGGAGCAGTTAAATACGGAGGACAGTTTGCTCTCTACCCTACCCCATCCCCACCCTCCCCCCCAAGCTGGCTGAGGAACACGGGCTGTTTTATACATTATTTATTACGTTGTTTGCCGGAACGAGCCCTGTTGCACAGCACTGCTGTTAAAAATTGTTTTACAGAACAAACTTTTGCATCCAGAAGTGGGTTGGTTCCTCATGCAGCCATGCTGAGCTGCCTGCAAGTTGTTTTTTTCCCATAAAGTTGTAAAGTGCAGATTTCTGTTTCCTTAAGGGCCAGTTCAGGGAGAACCCAAGGTCTGATGAACTTTTTTTTTTCCTAAGAGGCAATGAAAAAAAAATAAAAATCCAGCGCTGGATTTACAAAATTCAGTGTTCAGAAGAACTGTGGACTAAAGACTGTGCTGTGTGCTTGACTTCTCTGCTTAGGAGCAGTTGGAGCGTCTGGACTGAATTTCCAGATATGCCTGTGAAGAAATTGTACTAACATTTCCATTGTTTGTAAGCTTCCAGTTTTCATCAAGCTCTGGGGGTCTCCTGGCATGGACACCACTGAAAAAGCCACCCGAGGCTGAAACTTGTGGTTGAGCTCTTGCTCCATCCTGCTTGTTGCTACAGCAGCTTTTCTCCTTTGCTGCATCTCTGCTGCCTGCAACGAGGCTCTGCAGTGCTTTTATCAGAGTTCAGCTCCTTGCACTGGCCCTAACTTACTTTCTGCAGCATCTCCCCCCCACCAGCCCCCGGAACCATCATTTCAAAACCTGCACAAAACTGTGCTGATGCACTCTTCTCTTGAGTCCCACGTCTTGCAAGGTGGGCATGGTGCTGAAGCCTCACCCTGGGCTGTTTCTCATCCCCAGCCTGCATTTGGCTGGTCCGGCCAACCCCGGAGTAGGGACAGGACATGGGAGCCTTATGGGGCTGCTCTCCTGCCACAAATCAGCATTGGCAGAGGACGAAAGCTCCTGCTGACAGCACTGCTTAAGCAAAAGTGACCTAAGCAAGCGGTAGGCATGAGCTGAGGTTGGAGCCAGGCTTGGCTTTGTGCACAGGCTGCTTTCCTGCACAGCCACGACTGACCAACGCTGCGACCGAGGCAGCAAACTGCTGCGGCTCCACATGCAGGAGCCCCCGGCTGCTGCTGCTTCTGCTCTTGAGGGCGCAGCAGAGAGGAATCACAGGGCATCAGTCCTCCCCATCAGGTCGTTTTCTCCTCCATCATTCAGCAGCCAGTAAACCATGGCCTGCCAGGCCACCAGGTCCCGCAGGCAGAGCTTGCTTCTCGCTGACAAACGTGGCCCTGTCCCAGCCCCGTTGCTCAGACACACACAACAGTTCACTTTAATAGTTGCCTCCTTAACAAGACACACGCTTGTGTCCTTCTGCAATGACTGTGTAAAGAGGAGCATCTTCCCTTGCATGCAGAAGTAATTCAGGCTCAGCCCCTGCAGAAAAAAACATCACCCATCAAAGGAGCAATTCAAAGCCAGGCTTACACAAGAGATTTATCCGTTTACACGTACATATAGGGATGTGTATGCGTGTGTGTGTTTTGCAGGACTCCTCTACCTGCTCCAAATAGAGATGCAGTTATTTTATGTAAGAGTATTTTTTTAGAATCAGTATTGCTTATTCCACCGCTGTATGATTGCACTGTAACAGGTCTGGTCCCTGTGATGCTTTGAAGGCTGGAAAGTGTTGTGTACTTCCCCAGCACGGTTAAAAACAAACCACACAGAAGTAACAATTATAAATATACAACTTTAAAAAATTACTGTTAAAGATTTATTGCAATAATACAATAAAATTTAGAAAAAAAAAAAACAAAAAACATTTGTGTTGAGTTACATCTAGTTCAGAAGTTGCAGAGAGAGGCCCCGAGTTTTTGCAGGTGACAAGCAACCCTTGGGTGTCCCACCTGAGACCCTTCAAAGGCACCTGATTTTCAGCAGAGGGCTGGGCTCTCAAAATCAGGCTCTTCCTTGGCAGCTCAGATCAGCCACCCCAGATCACTGGTCACGGACAAAAGCCACGGCCTAAACTGAAATTCCCGCATTCATGCTACCCAAAGTGTTTTGTAAACTCTCAGCTGGCTGTCTTCAAATATCTATAATTACAGATATTCCTGCCCTCCCTCCCCCACCCCCAAAACAACCTGGAAAACTAATCCTGGCAATTGCACTCAAGGTTTGGACACACACAGTTCTTCCTCAGCTACACATGTGCAAAACACTTTAAAAAAAAACAAACCAAAACAACCACAATCTGTATTGTGTTACAAAAAAGTTTCATGAAAAGACCGATCCCAATGCATTTTAACACCCTCGCAGTGCCGTTGTGCACTTTCAGAATATGACATGGTTGCAAATGAATTGCTTGGAAAACATGATGAAGTATATGGCTTAAAAAGGTTTTTTTGTGTAGGTTTTTCTTTCCCTAAGTAAGTAAATGACAGTGTACAGAGCTGAATCACGGCCTGACCTTTAGAGGTTCAAAGTAGCACAAAGGCAGCAATGAAAGAGTGACTGAAATGCGTATTCAAAACAAAACAAAACAAAACAATTTATATGGCAGGGTCCAGTGCAAAATAAATGGGGAACCAACGCTAAGAGCCCAATATACAGTACTGGTGAGTACGTGCTGGTTGCTAAGAACTGCAAAGGATCCGATAGCTGCAAGTGAGTAAAGTGCTGTGAACTGAACAGTGACCCAACCCTCCCGGCCACGGCCGGGGCAGCGCTCGCTGCTGGGGGGGCTGGGGGGCACCGTCCCCGTTCAGGCTGCAGTAGTCAAGGGAGTCATGGCTGTTCTCTTAAAACAAACCCAACTATTGGATTTAGACCAAAAGAATGGTTAGGACCGAGGGTGTCTTCGCCTAACAACGTGTGTGCTGTTAGTGCAGAGTTAAGGGTCTTTGGTTTAAAAAAAAAAAAGAAAAAAGATACTGCTGACAACAGATGCCCATCCCCAAGGCCAAAGAGAAAGAGCTGCCGTACAAGAGGGGTGGAGGGCTGGGAGACACAATACTCGGCCGGTTCCCCTGGCGTGGAGCTCGCTGGGGTAGGCAGGCATCGGTACCAAAACTACTTTTCCACCCGCTCCTCGGTGGAGGCGGGAGGCAGCGCTGGCTGGCCCGGAGAGGAACCGCACGCCTCTTTGGTGGCCAGAGCAAAACCACCACAAAAAGACTCTGTGAGACGGCCGGGTAAGCCAGCCCCAGAGCCGGGGCTTCAAACACGCAGGAGGACGCTGCCTGATGGCAGGGACGCGGCTTGTGCATCCCTCCCTGCAGCCTCGCCGCGCCCCCGGTACGAGCTGCATCGCCACAGGGAGCAGCGGCAGAAATCTTCCCTCTTGGAGGGGCGGGAGGATGCTTTTAGTTTAGCTTACCCTGTGGAGAAGTGCAATGTCCCAACTATATAAAATGTAAACCATACGTTGGAAGCCTCACTGAGCAAACCCATCTTTAAGTAATACATACCACAAGGCAGAGGAAGTGGAGGAGCACTTGTTAATGAACACATCTGTCAGTATCACACCTCCTGTAGTTTTACAAGGGAGCCAGCTGCGCTGTGAGCATTTCTGCAGTGAAATGAAATCAACTTCTTGGCATTCAGTAAACAAGAAAAAAAACCCACCATAAACATAAAATAGAATAGGGTTTAAAACGCATGTAGTGTAGAGACTGTGTGACTTCATTAAACTAGCTTGAAATGAGGTTTTTCTAATATTAAAAAGTGGCAACATGGTGTCATAACTGATGAATATTATTGCAACAATGCAATCCTGTATCAGCATCAAATGTGGGTCTAGCTAAGAGAACGTCCAGTGTTTCTTTGGTGTATGATATTAAGAGTAAAGAGCCTGCGTGCTTTGGACAGCACAACATGAAACTTCTAGACTACCTACCAGTGGAAACAGCATGAAACAAGCCAGTTTTCTATGGCAAAACTGGGTAGAGATTCACAGCCAAATCTAAAAGAAGAGCAATTTGCTGTGTGAATTCCTGTCCATGCTGATTCTTTGTATTAAAAATATGGCAACAGATATTAGAAAACATGTTAAAAATGCATAATTTTCATGTCCTGAATGAAAAAAATTTAGAAATACGCATTTTTGCATTATGCAAGACAGATTTAAAACACACACAAACAAAAACCCTGTAAGGAGTTAAGAAAACATGAACTGCATTTGCACCACTGTCCAGACTGCACACTGAGCAGCCTTCTCTCTGTACTCATCCCAATTCAAATACTCCAAAATCTGTTTCTTCTTCAGAAAGTAGAGCTGGAGGCTGCTGTGTCCTTCTTCTTTGATACTCAACAATGCAGACAGAACCAAGACACAAAGTGCCATCACAGAATCCGTCAGAAGTACGTAGCTAGCTAATTTACAAAATGGTACCATCACAGTCATCTTGGGTAAATAAAAAGGTTTTTCTGGTTTACAAAATGAAAAGTCTGACCTTTTCTTTGTTCCAGGCACTACTTAACTGAATATGTAAGGTTTACTACAGCATTGCCGGGGAGGGATTCCTTCCACAAATCCTATGATCCTTTTCCCATGCTCTTTAGCGATGTCCAGTGTACGCCTTCAGCCACGAGGTCACCGAGGCAGCAGCGGACGAGATCATTCCACCGGCGCTGCTGCTGGCAATGGGCTGAGATACCTGCGTGCTCTGGCTCTGCAGCATCTCCACCTGCTGGGAGGGGATATCGCAGAACCTGGGGCTTGGCAGATTCTCCCAGTCTGTCCCTAGGTCTGTCTCTTCATCACTGACGTGCTCATCTCCGCTCTCGTCTGTTTCGCCGGCGGCACTGGGATCCACAAACTCCATGGAGTCTTCAAGATCAGCACTGATTTCAAAAGGCCCAGACCTGTGAACACAGACACAATGCCGTCAGCCCGTTTGGTACCATGCAGGAGAGGGACTGTCACTTCGCTGGTGCGAGTCCTAGGCATGCCAAAGCACCCTGCTCTGTCATGTGTACAGCAGAGAAATTAAAACACCTCTGTGTTTATCAGTTGGCAGAGACACGCTTGCTGGCTGCAGAGATAACTGTATTATGACAATGGTGAAATGAAAACAGTTGGCCAGGGAAGCGATAGCTGGGTTCCAACCCACGAAGCAGGAACGGCGGAAGAGCTGTTCTGCTTTGGCATTGGATAGCGAAACACGTACACATAAAAGAAAAAGCTATTGATAATAACTCACAGCTCCACTGGTGGAAATCTCAGCTTGATGCAGAACAGCTTTTATTTTTAACGCTAGCCCTCACCAGGCCAAGACCGCTGACAGAGCTGCAGCCAGGGGAAGGGTGTAGTTTACAACTTAGAGAACTGGGTTGGCACAACTCACCAGTGGAGACTTCCCATAGCAGCACTTCACCCTGAGCAACATCTCAAGATCTTTTTTACTATGAGGCTGGTCAAACACTGGAACAGCTTGCTCAGAGAGGCCGTGGAGTTTCCTTTGGAGATACTCAAAGCCCCAGCAGCCACTGGTCCTCGGTAACTTGCCCTAGCTGGCTCTGCTTTGAGTGGGGCGATGGGCTGGATGTCCAGAGGTCCTGGCCAAACCCACCTGCGTGTGACTCCGAGTTCCCTGCTGCCACTGCCTGGTGGGAGAAGCAATTGCATCCCACCCCATCCCACTGCTTTGCACTAGAGTACAGGCAGCCCAAATCTGAAACATCTTTACTGAGCCAAAGCGGGCAGTTTCACAGACCCCGTGACCCACGGTCAGAGAACGCGAGGTTTTCAAGGAGGCGGTGAAAGGTGGATTCCCCACAGCAAGCAGCATCCCTGCCAAAGTTCATTCCAAAGCACAAAGCTGCTCAGTGAAACAGCAGCAAGAATTTAACATGGGTAAGAGTGTTTCTGCAGCCTTAGCGGGAGAAGCCGCCCGAAGCAGCGGTTTAGCATGGAAAACTGTAATCCAAACAATTAAAGCTTGGTAAAATTATATGTATCTGAAAACAGTAGCTTATAAAGGAGACTGTCAGGCAACTACAGGCCTAGATATCTAAAGGAAAATAAAGAGAGCTGGTTGCTGCAAACTTTGCAGACAGCTGAGAAATTAAAGGTAAACACTCCTCTTTCATAATCCAGAAAGGAATGGGAGTGCTGCCTTCTGGCAAAGCATTTTGCTTAACAAGGCAACATAAGAAGAGAGTCATCAGGTTTAAGGCCAGAAGGGACCATTAGATCATCTCAAGTGACCTCCTCTGTAACAAAGGCCATTACGTTCCACCCATTCCCCCTGCCCAGTAACTTCTGCCTGATGAAAGCATCCATTCCAGAAACTCATCCAGCCTTGACAGGACAACATAAGGGAACAGAGAATCCCCACCTTCATTCTTGCAGGTAATTAATCTCTGTGTTAAGCGCATGTGCCTCATTTCAACCTAGCTCAGACACTTTGCTTCCAGTGGCATCTATAAAGCCGTTCAGTAGCCTGCATTTTCTCCCCGTAAAGGCGTGGAAATCGGGTCACCTCTCAATCTCATCTCTGGCGAGCTAAGACAGTTTTATACAGACTAAACTATGCCCCTCACTGCTAGGTATTTTCTCCGACTCTTTCCTGTAACCTCTTCTTTTACTACGTGGACCCGACTGATGCGTGTGGAGCTCAGTAACATTTGCACAGAGAAGGGAGACCCACTGTGGCACCAGGACCTTCTACAGCAGCTGCTTTCCAGGACACAATTCTTCATTCTCTGGGTATTTCCTGCACTCTCCCTGTTTTCAGGCAAGCAGCAGCAAGTACATAATTTTTTCCAAACTGAGCTATGTTACAAAGATTTGGCTCCCCATATCTTTGGGCTGAATCAGCAGGGTTATACCCAGAGAACATAAGGTAAGTGGTTAGAGGCGTGCATTCAGTTCCTCTTAGTGGCACTGCAGGTTTTTAAATAAAACTGGATCTGTACATGAGAATAAAGTGGAAAAGTAGATTTCAGAACATTACTGTGTTTAAAGGGGAATAAAGCACTTGTCAGATTAAACAAATATTTGCAGATTGTCTCAGGCACAAGTGACTTGTGACTGGATTATCCCAACAGGAAATCAATGTTGTTGGTTTTCTTATATTTAGATTGTAAAAAAAAAAAAAAAATTATTAAACCTGGTGCATGCAGCCCACAGGAACTGATGTTCTTTTCATCACGTACTGAGTTAACAGAAAACTTGTCTTTAATCTTAATTTACATATAAATGAATTATTATTTGAAGTGTTGACTTTGGTCTAGGTTGTTCATTGACTGGAAGTATTTTGGGAAAGGTTTACCTAGTATTCGTTTTAGGGTTTATATTGCTGGATGTTCCTAGGTACTTACACATTGGCAAGATGTGGACAGGGTTGTATCCGGAGTACAGTGAGACTGCCTGGCATATGTGCTGCTGTCCCCTGGAGGGAAAGAGTTCCTGCTTCTGGGCATAGGGGAAACAATTCCGTAATCAGCTATGAAGGCTCCAGCTGAGCCTGCCATACGCAAAAGCACAGCATACACACATCTCTGAAGTCTAATTTCCTACTCAGGACCCCCTTTTTCTGTCCTCTCTTGTCTCTTCCTTTCTAACGACCCTGATTTCTGATGTGCTGAGGACTGAGCTATAGGCACAGCAGAAGAGAAGAATTTCCCTCATAAGTAACAAGGCAAATGCATAACTTCAAAAGGGATTCAGTCACAGGTGAGTTGAGATACTGCTGTTCTTACCTGCCCAAGTTCTCAGTGTCTGGGCTGACCAGGTACATAAGGTTCCTGAGCGTATGCAGTGGGTGCAACAGATCTAAATTTACATGCTACCATGGGGAAGGTAAGAAAAAGACATGATCAGTTACTGGAGGAAACCTGCAGGCACAGTTGATATTTTAAAAGCTATTTAAAGAATCCCCATATACATTCCCCCTACCTGAGAGAAGCAAAGGTGAAGGATATTAGCATTCAGCTTCTTCACTGCCCGCGTGAACCTGTGTCTGCTGAGATTCTCTCCACAGAACTCGCTGTTGAAACACCATACACACACATATATATACAGAAAGCAAAACGCTGTGAAAATACACCTACTGGAGACATCAGCATTCTGTGCCCTGGCTTCCTAACAAATCCCAGAGCAAACATCCTCACAGCAAGCACTTCTTTAAACTGTACAGCCAGTTTTAGAGTGCTCAGGAGATTAATTTTTCACCTAGCAAGACTGTTAGCATTTCATCAACAAGCGCTGCTTGCCGTAGTCTCACCAGTTTCAACAAGACAAGCAATGTAAACTGTATGAAACTCAAAGATCCCCTGTAGCCAAGCTATTTCAGCTCTCCTTTTACATCTTGCATTGTTTCCTGTTCCCAAGCTCTTCCTTCTGCAAAGACTGAGCACCCAAATAATAGTATAAAAAAAAATGCAGAGACCCTACACAACTTTTGTGCCTTCACTTTGGCAACCGCTGTTTTTAAACACTTAAAAGAATCTCAGCAGCGTATTTGAGACCTCTGGAAGCCTGACCAGGTCTACACCTCCCTCAGTGCTTCTGTACAGATCCCATCTGCTCCACACAGACATTAAAAACGTAACAGTGGTTTTCATCACAACCGAGGTTTACCCAATACACTCCTAGACGTCTGGCAGCCAGGTACATTCCCCCTTGGTGTTTTATCCTAAAGAGAATTACATTGCTGTCATGCCATATTATAAGGCCTTGTTCCACAGCACTTAATGTAGTGGAGCTATTCAAGATGACTACGAGTTGCTGAATTGGGCTGGGATTTTGTAAAGCACAGTAGGGTCTCATAAAATGAAAAGCGCTATTCATGGACTGTCATATTTCTTTTCTAATTTGAGATGCTGAATATGCCAATTAGAAAGCTGTTATTTTCAACTATGATGGCTGGTCTATAGTCTCAGGAGGTAAAAAAAGAGGGAGGGACTATTGACTGGTTTAAAATCCTACTAGCCCTCCACCCAAAATTAAACAGCACAAAAATCCACGAGCCATCAACCATTACCATAAAAGCTGTTCCAAGTAATGACTTCGTTCCCAAAACCAAACTGAATTAAGATCAGTCAAAACTGGTCACTGATTCACCTCCTCAGGGGCTTGCGTTTACTTGCCTGTTGCAGAGCTTCTTGGGAAGATTTACATCAAGTATGAGAGACAAAGTGTTAACAAGCTGAGTTGCATAGCACAATGCAGCACTGATGGTATAAGCAGGGTTATTATGTTCCATATCTAAAAGAAATAAAAACATCATGAAAGTCTCATTTTAAATGAAGCCTCAGTGGGTGTGTTAATGCATTAGTGAAGTCTACTCTGGAAAATGTCATTTGTAAGTACTGAGAACAGCCTGAATCCAGCAATCATTTACAGTGAAATCTGTCAGAAGTTGGTAGAAAATAGTAATTCTTGGAATTCCTGTTAAAACAACGACATGTGAACCATGTCAAAACTGTGAATAATTAACTTTATCTCTCTATTACATTGTGCTGTGCCCCAGCGAGCATTTCCTGCAAAAGAGGATTTCAGTGGACTAATCCCTATATCGGTATTTATTTCTGACTCAGGTTGGTCTGGGTGAGAACAAATGGACCAGGCTACTGCTCCTCAGTGCCTTCTGTTGGCATCCAAGGCTGCAAGTTCTATGGCTTCTGGAGCATCCCAGATGCCTAATCAGACCTTGCTCCTTACCTGGTCCTTGTGTAGTCTTCTTCTCTTCCACCCAATTGTAATATGCTGAATAGTCTCCATTATTAGGAAGGGTTATCCAAGGCCCTGTGATACTGATGCTGGTGTCCCCATTATGATCATCACACACCCATCTCCCAGAGAGATACGTGGTTCTCCTGGCTTCCGCGAGCTTGCTCACAGTGCTAGAGGTCATAGCATTGTCACTCTCAGAAGACACATCTGCAGGATCTCTGTAGCACCCAAAGAGGAACAGAGTGTTTTTAAAGAAATTTTAGAAATATAATCGGAGATGCACTTGGCAGGCACTTAGCCAGATTTCACAGAGAGTGAAATGCTTGTAGAAACACTCTTGCAAAACTCCTTGTTCCTCAAACTACTTTCCTTTGTTCTGGGATTTTTACTTATCTATTTTAAGAAAGTTTAACATTGGATACATACCTCAGATCTCTCAGTGGGGAGATGCTAGCACCTCCAGATTCTTCTATTCTGGACCTCTATCTTTGGGTCAGATGCTTTGCCTTTGGGAAACACCTCCCCCCCACAGATGCTAAGGGAGCCAGAGCGCCTGGCTTAGACTTACATGACTCACTTCTGGGTGTCTAAAGCTAAGCAAAATGAGTCCAAAAGGATAAGCCTTCTGTACCTCATGCTTGTCTTTACTTCTTCAATGGGAAATATGACTGACGTTAGCTCCAGGATATGCGTCCGACGAAGATTTGCCAGATGCTCGTACTGGGTTTTCAAGTCATAGGTTTTTTTCTCTACCAAGTCTCCCAGCTTGCGGTTATGCCTCTGGATCTTCTCTTTCTTCTCCTGATGCCGCTGAGCCCTGCGATAATGCTTCTGGTTCTCTTCTTTAATTCTCAGAAGCCCCTCCGTGTCTGTGAAAACAGCAGCAGATGTTAGCCTTGGAAAAGGAGCTGTGAGGTACTTGTAGTAAGCTTGAGAAAAGCATTATTAGTTTTTATAGAAAAAAAAGACCTGTAACAGCTTAAAACAGAAAACCCTGCTAAACTATTAACATTTTCCAGCTGCTAAGTGGTACAACTTCTTAATCTTTTCTGAAGATCTCCAAAGAGACTGAAACTGGGATTAATCTTTCCCTATCTTTCACCCAGCTATTTTTGGATTTGGAGCAGAAAAGCCAAGATTTCACAGTTTAATTAAACTTCTGAGGTAATCATTATGACAGAAATAGCTTGACTGTACACGTTTGTGTGGTGCTGGCCAAAAAGACATGCATTACTTGCAGCCAAAATCAAGTGCAGATAGCATCTTCATTCACCATTTCTGGCACCACTGCTGCTATTAGTGTATGTTATTTGGGCTTTGCGCTTATGTATGTGCTCTTAAAGCACTTGGATCCCAACGGTGCAGACTTCTTGTTACCACAAGGGAACACTGACTACCTCCCTTTCCAGTCACAAAATGAGAAATGCACTTATGTACTCAAGTGCTGCAACTGCCTGAATTTACTCCATGCATCAAGCACACTGAGGCTTGGAAAAATATCCTTCAAGAGCATCTGCTGATTCTCCTATAAAATAATTGACTGCAGTAATGCTTCCAAAAACATATGGTGCTAAAGACAGTGAGTTAACCACTTCTGTCTTTCAAAAGCATAAGGAAGTATTTCTTATACACAGTCTCCAAATACATGTCTAAAACTCTTAAGGTACCCTAGTTTGAATGAGAGCCCCCATCTACTAGTCACTCACTTCCCATTTTTATGGCCGAAAAGAAACAGTGTCAGTCAGGTTCTCTTACAGCAAGGCATCACTTCCCTGTAATCAAGAAGTGGGATAACTGTCCCTTGCACAGAAGGGAAGCACTAAGCCCTGACATCATTTTACTGATATATTTTGACTGCAAGGCACAGATGAGATCAGAGCTACAATAAGAATGCTCCATGGCACTCAAAGCAGCTGCATTATGTACTACTAAAATCAAGAAAACTTCTAAGCAGCTACAGCTACCTCAAACAACACATTCAGACTATCAGTCTTCCCAATAGGGGAGCGCAAAAATTAAAACCTACATCCACAGAATGGGACCCAAGACGGATTCCCATCCACGGGTCTGTGCCAAGCCAGCACACGACACCCTCCTGCTAGTCCTGGTTTGCACCTGCAGAACTGGAACTGCACAGACATCTGGCTGGTCCGTCGTCTGGCAGGGTGGGAGACCAGGACTGCTGGTACTCCTCAGAGTGTGCCTGCCCCAGCAGACACAGAGTGTGCTTTCTCCAAATGTCAGGAATTATTTCTAGTCATCTAACTGATCTGTGGCGATCCACGTGATTGGTAGGAAGGAATATCTGATACATGCGAGATGCAAAGTCCCAAATTAAAGAAGGTGAGAATAGTTTCCCTGTGCAGATAAGCAGTAATAATTCTCAGGTTTGTAAAATAAATGACCCCCTGTGAGAGGAAACATAGAAAATTGACTTTTCTCTGAGTGATACCAAGAATCCCTATGTGACCACTAGTAATTTAGTTTCCTTTAAGCATTCCTGTAACATCAATGGAAAAATCAATTAATGCTTGCATTCATATTCCCAAACTCTCCCTTTGCATAAAGAATAAGAGACAGAGGAGGAGTAAAACATCCATCTGTTCAATTTTCACATTCATATTGTACTTGAAAGGCTACTTTTTCAGAGAGTGAACTCCCTTTTCTGCAGGTCCAACAGCAATTATTTGAGAAGCAAGCGAGAACACTGCGCACACGTTTCCTCTTTAGCAGTCCCAGTGCAGAAACAACTATCCTTTTTTTGGCACAGCATCTCTGCTTTATGACCCAGTTTATGAGGTGATTAAAATTTGTCCCCAGAAGTATTTCAGGACATCACTGTGTCCCACACATCTACACTGCCTGATAAATGCAAGCACAGGCACGCTGATCTCTGCCCAACAGAGAGCTATGCCAGATATTTGCAAGATTGTCTCCTTGAACTGTTCTCCACAGACAGAAGACAAACACACATATTTGAAAACCTTACTTTAGGGAGCACCAATTATTGAGGTATCCAGTCAACGGCAAAAGCAGGACCCCAGCGTTCTAGAAATTGTTCTTATTTCAGAAAACTAAACTATGCCATATCCAAGAGAAGAGAAACAACCTATTTACATTTTCTAATGTGGTCCAAGAGTGAACCAAGTTGGGTTCCTGATCTACTGGCTACTCATGGAAAGAGTTCATTTTGGGTCTATCTGCAAGAGCAATTGCGGGGTAATTGAGCTAACAACAGGTCAGTTGGGCAATAGTTAGGTCAGTTCACAGGTTAAATCTAATCAAGTTCACTGTGAATCAGAGAAGTTGCAAAATCTGCAGATAATACACTTCACACAACAGCAGAAAAGTGGAGGAACTCCACTCCCCAGTTAGTCCTAGCATTTTGCCACCTTCAGAGCTGCATTTTGAGAAAAGGTGACTAAGTTCCTCAAAGTCACATTGACCACCTCTTCTCCTTTCTTCATAGTTATTATCTCCTTCATAATAACCTTCTACCTACTGAAAAGCTTGCTTTTCTTCTCTTCTCTAAACCAAATCAAACATCATTTCTCTTAGCCATTCTTTGTGTTTTATTCCTAATACTCTCTTCCAGACTTTGAGCAATTAAAGAAAGATACAAATCAACTGGAGAAATTGGACACCAGACTTCCACTGAGGCAATACCAATGCTGGGCACAGCAGGATAATTGCTTCCATCTTAAACACAGTGCTTATATTAGTATAACCCAGAATGAGGACTGAACCTTTCTGGAGCAGCATTAGATTGATAATTTTTATTTAATTTGCAACTCCCAGATCCTTTCCTGCCAAACCTCACCACTTACCCCCACTTCGGATTTATATGTTTCTCCTTCCAAAACAACGGATATCCTTTTCAGATAATATGTCAATTTATCTGCACGATTTTGAATTTGATCCTGTTCTCCACAGAAGTCCTATCATCATCCACCTTGGCTTCCTCCATTCCACCTTCTATTCTACCATGCAAGCTATTATGGAAAATATTGAACAAAACTGGGCCAGGAACCGGCTCCCGCTGAGCTCCACCTGTCTCACCTCCTTGGTTTGACAAGTATCACTACTCTTTGAATGCAGCCTTTCTAGGCTTTTGTGTCAGCCTTGCAGCGATTATGCCCAGAGCAAATGTCTTTGCTTGCTCGCGAGACAGGTTGGGGTAGTGCCCATGGGCAAGGTATGTTGCATCTTCTGCTTCATCCTCCACTAGACCACTTGATCCCCAGACAATGGGTTAATTGGACATGGCCTATTCTTAACAAAGTGATGCCTATTTTTAACTACCTTATCTTCTAGCTACCTACAAAGTGGCCAGAGGTTTATAATGGGATGACTGTGTCAGCAGTTTAAGGTTCTCCCCTTCTCCACCCTTTGAAAACAGATACTGTTGTCATTCTGTTTCCTGGGCCATCCTCTCTCCCTCTTGTGTTCTTAAGTGCTCACGGACTACTTCAGCTTGTTCCTTAAGTTCCCGACAGTGAATCTCGTAAGGCCTTGCTGACATAATCAAAATATTCAGCTGGCTGTATTCTTTCCTTAGTCTGCAGTCCTCTCATGATGTAAAGTTTCAACTGGCTTAGCAGCTGATCACATTTTCTTTCAAGAAGACGAAGCAAAGAAAGCGCCAAATGCTTCAGACTTCTTTGCACTATTTGCTCTCTTTCTTGTTAACCAACAGACTTGCCTACTCCATCTTTTTCTTAGTAACAGTAAGAAATGTACAAAATCCATCCTCCTTATTAATTAAAAATAATTTTGCATCTCAGCCTTTTTGATGTTATCACCACAAGCTTGTGCTATTCCTTTATAACTAGTCTCAGGTATATGCCTCTGCTTCCACTTTCTGTACAGCTCCTCTTGAATTTCAAGTCATAAAAATGTTCCCGAGTCAATCAATATGCTTCTGAATATGCTTCCTATCTTTCCCTTGCAAGCAGGTTGTAAGAAGTGCTGCATTTTCTCTTCTGAAAAATGACCCTACAAATCTCTCATGTATAAAAAATTTAATGAGTTTCAAAACTGAAGCTGCTGAACGGTAGCAACTCACCAGCCTGTGCCACATTTCAGTGACTCTTGCTCAAGTAGGATTTTAGGATTTCTAGACAGGCGTGGGTTAAAATTCATCAGTTACATGACATTGGTAACAGCTGCAGAACTGTTTGCTCCTCTTTATCAAGAGGAAGTGATCAGAAACACTACGCTGAATAAAGCCATCTCTAGGGACAAAGCCAAAGTCATAGGCTGCTAAGCATTTACTTTTAAAGCTGTTGCAAAATGATCTCCATCCAGCTGAATAATGTCTACTGTTTGCTAATTAAACCCCAAGCATAAAAAGGCTAAAATCGACTCACTGATTTGCCTTCAAGTGGATTTAAGAAGTGACAGTTTGGAAATTTACCATTTTTAAAAACTAACACTCAAATTCACTTCAATTGATTTTTTCACTCTGAGGCACAGAGTTTTCCACATCACAAAAGCACAGGCATTACTCACGTCTTGTCATTTCATCATTTTCTTTGCAAATGGTCTGTTTCAGCTGCTCAATCCTCATCTTGCAAGACATTATTTTCCATCTCTGAAAAAGAACATTCAGCAACTCTAGGGCACAAACGACTTCAAACACACTGACTAATGATTAACAACAAAGCCAGCAGCTTTAGTGCAAAAGTAGCAGGATGTTCTTAATTGGATCAGATGAACAAATAAATATTTCATATACTGTTTTGCACACAGAAGAATGCCACAAACAAACCAAATGCCTAGTAAAAAGTCAATCAGTATAATAAGTTATTGAACAAATATCTAGTAAGAAATGAAAAATATTGATGGCTTGGAGCACTCTGCTTGCAGAGCCAATTTCAATTTTGCTTACGACAGGCTTTTTGGGAAAGCAACACAATGCCCTTAAGGTAAATTGTAACTTTAAACTAGGAGATCTAGGAATTCAGAGAGTTTAAAAACTATGGGACACTTTGAACAACTCACCAGCTGATCAGTTATCTCTTTCCCTTCCATGGCCTTCAAAACACTAGAGGAAAAAACATGATTGAAAGTTTTATGACTATCTGGACTATGTCTGTCTCCAGCAACAGTGCATTAGAGAGACTGGTTGTTTGGGTTTTTTTTCTGAGAGTTCTTATAGTTTATTTTCATTTAATAACTACAACTTACTGTTTTTGGAATTCTCTCTGTTTGGTTTTAAGATGCATCAGCCTTTCTTTCTTGTCTGAAAACCTGGAAGAGATTAAATGATTTCATTGATATTTTGCACAATATGGCATTGTAAGTTGTCTGAAAAGATAAAAAAGACTGAAGCTTGTGGGAGTCTCTAAACCTCAACTATCTGTCTTAATCTTGGGAAGTAATGACTAAATGTATAAAACTCTTGCAGAATTCTAGAGCATGTGTCTCTCAGGAATTGCAGCAGAACCTCTAAGCTGAGGAAACATCAGCTTGTCATATTATCGAACTTGTAAGCAAATTGCTTGCTTCTTCTAGAAGATCTATAGCTTAGTGATAGCAATATTTTGTGTATTAAGAAAAACATATAGTACTCTAAAATCCTTTAGTCACTGGAGGAATTAACAGTACCACCTCAGATACTGTAGTGAGTCTGAACTGGGGTATTCTACAAGCTGGGATGGTATTAGCTGAGTCCACTCCAGCAGCTGGAAATACAGGTTTTCATACACTATGCATTGCATTTCTCCCTTCTAATGTGGAAGTGCCTCACTTTATTCATTAATGGGTCCAAATAGGACAGCACTCTCTCAAGACTTTTACATGACATCCAAATCTTTGTGTTAGTAACAGCAATAAGTTGCATTGTCTTCTAGTTATTTCTGCTGGGCACTTGTAGCCATCACAAGTCCATAACCCAAATGTCTACTTGAGTTCAGCTTCATTGGATGTGCGAGGTATAGGAACTGCAAAGAACTGATCAGAAGGGAATTTTTTTTAGGATTCATCATCTGTGTTTTCACCCTTTGAATATGCAGCAGCCATGTTCTGCTCCCCTCCGTGTTCCACAATGTATTGAGAAACACAGTTAAAGAAAATAGCATATGAACGATGCATATTGAGAAATTACAGTGAACCATGACGTGGCAAAGCTGACAGTAAGAGCAAGCAGCAAGAGAAACAGCTTAGAGTTACAAGAGAGTTAGATGGCATAAAAAATAGCAAGTGTGCTTTGTCTTCTGCCAACACATAGCTTTCCAACTTTCCCTTGTGCTTCCCATGTTACAGCACCATCCTAATCCACACCTCAAAACTGTCTTGGGTTGAGTCCACATATGGAAAAACAATTCATTAATTTCCCTCTGAAACATGTAGAATTGACAATTTCACCCTAACAGAGGTCTAATACTTCACATACAACCCATCAAGTCCTTTATTTCAGGGATAGCTTTATTTAGAAAGAATTACACAGTAAGCCTTGACAGGGTGGCATCTTGGGCCTCTCTCTGCTCAACTCTGTGGGTTTGATTTCAGGTAAAAATTTAAAATGCTTCATTTCTTTCCTTGAAGTGCTGAAATCTGAAAGCTTGGTGACTAACTTTGGGTTCAGAAAGTGTGTAATCACCCTTCCAGATGACATTAGCATTAAAACAACAGCAAAACTACTGGCTGCTGCCTTCATAGTCAACCAAAAATATCTGTTTTCCTTCCAAAACAAACCAAAACCAAATGCGGGTGCTTGGCATAAAAAGCCAGAGGCCACGCGTGAGCTGGAGGAATGTGGTGCAACTGGAGCCTGGCTGCTCAACCCAGCGCATTCGTTCTTCCTGTGTGTCCTCACCCCACCAGTCATCGTGGAAATTACAAAAGTGCACCGTACTAGACTCCTGTTTACCACAAGTAATGCGCACCTACTGTAGCCCTGACCTTTGGCTGCAACCAAAAATAACTTGGCCCAGAAACACACCGCTCGGCAGTCACACAGGGAGAGAGAGCCAGGATAATTTGGCAATTCTTGTTTTCAAAGAAGATTGTAATCAAATGGATTAATGGGCACAGAGTCTGACTGAACAAAGTTACCCAAATTGTGTCCATCACATCAGCGAAAAGTTGAATGATCTGTCAAGAATCTGGGACTAAATTAAGTTCTTACTGTGGAAGAAAGATAGAAATATTTGTGAAAGCCTGCAAAAATTACAGCTCACCACACACTTCAGCAACTATGTCAAACAGCTCCTACAAATTTCTTTAGCAGGTTTCTCCTAAGCAAACATTTCCACTTCTTTATATAGCCCTAATTTTAATTGCATCACATCAAGTAATTAATTTTTCTCTAAGTATCTACAGCCTTTCAATTTGGCAAAGAAACAAAACTTTGGATGAACTATTATAGGAACTCCCATAAAACGTAAACTGAGAGAAGGAGAGAACTCAAGATCTCAAATTATCCATTAAATGTTTCTCTTTCCTCAAGTCTTATCACATTAAGCTGAGATTTTCTAGTTACCTGGCTTATTTCCACATGTTCATAATTAAGAGAGAAGCAACCAGAAATGAGGACTTCTTGATCTGTAGGAACTGATTAATGCTGAAGGATTTGAGAACAGCAATAGGGGCATCCACTACTGGACCTATTCACTATAATAAAACTCCATTGTTGCAAAAACTCACTATTCCCAATCATAACCCACAACTTAGAGAAGTCAGACAGGCTTAGACATCTCAATTATATTGTCTTTGGCTTTTGCCATCTGCAGACACATAAAGCAAAGCAATTCAGTACGCCTGTAAAATACACTCTGAGAATTTATGCATATGACAGGCTGGAGTAAACTCCCAGGAGGAAGAAGAGTCTCCGAGCTGAAACCAACATAAAGATGCCAGCTTAGCTTTTGAATATACAACACATTACTAATGAAAAGGAGAACATCAGTGATTATTTTACTGGAGGACTTCTGGACTACTCATCCTTAATTGTAGCTGTACTTCAATAATTAATCTTAACAGCTCCTCAGTCTCTCCCCCTCACACATACAGGGTGTGATTTTTGCCAGACATATGAACAACTTCAGTCTTACTGTAGCTTTTATAAAAATTAGCACACAAAGCAGTCCAATGAAAAGAAATGTGAAATAATTCTTACTGTTAGAACATGAAATCATTTATCTTCTTCTAAGGAAAAATCACAAGAAAATTCTAAAAATAAAACACCACTGGATACAAGGGGTAATGCTCGCTTTCTTTACTTTTCACAAGAGAGAGAACAATCCTTTTCCCCAGTCTGTAACACTTCAAAAAGACAAATGGGAGGCCCAAGTGACCCCATACACTCCTACATTCTGAATTTCTCACACTGTGCTTATGACCAAGTCACACAGAAAAGCCCTTGTCATGACCCTGTCGGTCTCCTCCAGCACCAGCCATAACACTGATATCTAAAATTAACCCAGGTACTACTAGAAGACATAAAATAAACAAATAAATAATGATGACAGTAAACAACCTGAAATCCAGCCAGTTAGCCACACCTGTCCCTGCATGACTTTGCCATGGTGTGTGGTCACAGTTTAAAAAGTCGCTCCCTCTCTCCGTGCTCACATCACAAGAAACACATAGACACCCACTCACTGCTTACAATAAGGAAACAAAGGAAACTGACCTCTGAATTGACAAGCTCTCACTTTTATATCAGTCATTCCAAGTATTAATTATAGAATGCAGCCAAAATACTTCAAGCACAGTTTTAAAAATAAGTAATTCCATTATCTTCAAAAGAACAAGAAGAAACCTGAGCTTTACGGGGCTTTCCTGATGCAATCAAGCATGCTTATGTTATTCACGCCATTATTCATATACCTTACGTTGTTCCTTTAATTCACTGATACGACGTTGCTGTTTCAATGAATTGCACTACTGCTTGGGAAAGTTTTGAGCAGCAGGAGAAACAAAGCCTGGGGAAGTTGAGCATACAGGGAGGCCCCCCAGAACAGAGACTCTAGGAGAATAGAACAGCAGTGATCCCCACAGATGGAACCATGATGTCCAGACAGACTTGGGAGGAAAGACAAAAAAAAAAAGAAAAAAAGAAAAAAAGAGGCTTCCTTCCTGCAGTTAAGAAACACAGCATAAACATACAGAAGATTTGCTAGCCACAGACGAATGGGAGAGTTAAAGCATCTTAGGAGGATGCAGTGAAAACTGTCAGACAGAAAAGCTGATCTTGTCTCACATGAGAAGGTATGAGGAAGATAAAGAGGGTTTTTTTTTTCCCAACAAGCTGTTGCTTCTGGTGCTTTGGCTAAGGCTGCTTCTTTATGGTTTCATTTTTTCTGATGGGTAGAGAAACTACTTAAGCCTTGGTTAACACAGAATGACAGTGGTTCCACCGTAACGAAGGCTACAATTGAATTTCTATAATTATGCCTGAAGTTTAGCCAAAATCTTAAGGCTACAAAAAGGGCAGGAAAAAGATACTTGGTTTATGTTCTAAACTCCAAATCCAATTTTTTCCATGGAAGCTGCACACAACCCCAAACAGTCTCAGACAAACACAAGTTTTCCATCTATTTTAGAAAGACTAAATACAGCTTGTGGTTCTATGACACAGTCTTTTATGTAAAAAAAAGAAAGCCTATCCAGTGGCAGACTAAGGTCTCAATTTTGCAAGCTGATTCACACCAGCTGACACCCAGTGCCCACTCCCACCAGCATTAATGGAAGAAAGACACTGCTGTCCCCTTGGCTGTTCTTGCGTTTGGCAGAAGGATGCAAAGAGCCTTTGGTGTGAGGACCATACCGCACCACGCGCTGCTTGCCACCTTCCCAAAATAGTTCAAGAAATCACTCTCAACAGCTGCTAACGAAGCTACAAATGAAGGACCAAGAACATGGCGTCAGCCAAAAATCAGAGCTATTCCAGAGATGGTGCTGGGCAGACTTTTTAAGAATCTGGGCTGGCCACGCTGTGAACGACAGCTACGGAGGGGCGATCTGCATCTGAGTCATATAATGAGAATATTTGCTTATTGACGTAACACTCATTCAGCCGCCCTCCTGTAGAGCCAATGCTTTGCAAAAAGGAGCAGGAAGGTGCGTGACTAACTCAAGCAGAGTATTTTTTTTTTTTAATTCTAATTTTGTAATTCCATGATTAGGACTATTTATACCCCCAAGAAAACAAAAAAGAGGTGCCGTTTCCTCGCACACCTCCCTGATTTTGTTTAATGATTTAAAAGACTACCGGGTTTAAGGCGTGCTGCTGAAAACAGACACGCATTTCAAATATGCTGCTGCACGGCTCTCTTTTTGCCCTGAACTGTCTGGAGCTCCCGTCAGCTACATCGACACAGGCGCGCCTGCCGACAGGTGCACCTCAGTGAAAGTCGGGGTGCTATTTATTTTTATTATTATTTTAAGCAACGCGTTGTGGGTCCTGCTCTGCCTGCCCGTGTGGGGCAGCCCCCCCCCTCCAGCAGGCAGCCCCACAGTGGGCCCGGCAGCGGCAGGACCGT